AGAGTGGGGAGTCCTGAGCTGGACTCATCGAGGGGGGCCTTACCAGGAACATAGGGGCCTTCATTCCAAGGGTTTGCTGCAGGCATTGCAGAGGGGAGGAAGGGGCCCAGTCTGTGGGGTCAGGAAATGCCCCTTGGGAGTAGCTGGGGACATGGTCTCTCCCAGGAACCGGTCGTAATGGGTGCCCCCCCTCCCCGCCCAGGTGCTGGGGACGCCGACGCGGGAGCAGATCCGGGAGATGAACCCCAACTACACAGAGTTCAAGTTCCCCCAGATCAAAGCGCATCCCTGGCTAAAGGTATGGGGGAGGGAGGGGGCACTGCCTTGGGGAAGCTCACAGCTTCAGGGCATGGCTCAGGACAAGGGGGCGTGACTGTGTCTGGTGATGACCCCAGGAGAGGCTGTGTCCTGGGCTGACCCGGGCGGGGGCGGGGCTGTGTCCTGGGCTGACCTGGGTGGGGCGGTGTGGGGCTGTGCCCGCAGTGATCCCCCTGGCCCCCCAGGTGTTCAAGCCGCGCACCCCGCTGGAGGCCGTCTCGCTGTGCAGCCGCCTGCTGGAGTACACGCCCGCCACCCGCCTGTCCCCGCTGGAGGCCTGCACCAACGCCTTCTTCGACGAGCTGCGGGAACCCAGCGCCCGCCTGCCCAATGGGCGTGACCTGCCCCCCCTCTTCAACTTCAGCCCTGTGGGTGAGTGCGGGCACCGGGGGGTGCGGGGGGGGGTGCCCGGGGCCGTCTGACCCCTCTGCTCTCTCCCCTACAGAACTGGGCATCCAGCCCTCGCTCAACCCCTCCCTCATCCCGCCCCACCTACGGGCCCAGACCAGCTTGCTAGGGTGCGCGCCCGGCACCCCTGCCACACACGGTGAGTGCTGGGGGGGTGGAGTGGGGTGCTGTGCTGGGAGCTTGGGGGGGCCAGGACTACCCCACCCACACACACAAGCAGTTCTCCCTGGGCTGGGGAAAGGAGCAGGTCCTCTCCCCCCTATGCTGGAAATGGGGTGCTCCACCCCCTTTCCTGCAGCCTGCTGGGGCAGGTCCAGGTGCCCCCGCTGCCCTAGGGCATGCCTGTAGCAGGGGGTGGAGCCGGGCAGGTGGCCCTGCCATGCTGCTGGGGTGGGTCCGGGTGCCCCCGCTGCCCTAGGGCATGCCGGGAGCAGGGGGTGGAG